TCTGTTTAAAAGATCTGACAATGGATTTGTAACACAGACTAGCAGATGAGCTGTATTTTCACCTCATGACAAATTGTTTATATTCCTGTACTTGGAAGGAGTGTTTAGCTGGCTATAAAACTTTGGTAAGAAATATTATACTGTAAAAATTGTATACTCGGAATTTATAATATTTTGCTCTGTAACTTATCTAAATATTTTATGAATTGACAAGCAACTGACTTAAAACAGGGGAAAACATTAGACAGAGTAATTTTCAACAGAAAATTCCATTTCATTTGCAAAATCATCTGAAAAAATGGAAGCAATGCGAGTAATTTAGCACAGAAATTACAGATTCTGTGTTCATTTCTTAGGATTAGAAAAGAAAGAGGGAGTGAATTAACTATAAGTTAAAAACCTTTGCTACAATGCAAATAGCCTGATTAATGATACAAACTCCTAAAAGATTTTAAGCTATTGCATATTCAGTCTGAATATCAATATGAAATACTGTTGTTTGTACCTCACTGCAAAACCTGGACTACTAATTCATCTAGGTATGGTAGAAGTGAATTGCCTGCATTTCTGATTTCCACACACTAAATTGGTTTCATACCTTCTTTGATGTCTAGATATTGCAAAGGGAATGTCACAGGCAACATTTAGGTAATGAGTACTTTGATCACCTCCAAAGTCAAGGCATAAAAGGATGTGTTACCTGGTAAGGTATTGGTAGATATAGGAATAGGTGATTGGCATACGTGATATAGGCAAGAATGATGGAAGGGACTGTTTCCACTCCCATAAGGTTACATATCTATAGTTTCTAACGTCCAGTAGTTTCTTCACAATACACCATGTACTGTTTGTGGAATACAGCAAGTAAGTGAGCAGATTTTTAAGAAAAAAAAAATCTTGAATAGCCAGCACAAATATTGTGGTAATTGTAGTAAGTGATGGAAAATGTCAAGCTTGACAAGTTATTTCAATAGCTATATCTTTTAGTACTGTTATCCATCTTTGCCAGTGCTGTTATTGAAAATTATACACCTGTCTGCTATTTTCAAAAAGTAATTGCAAAAGTGTGATATAACTTTCACTGGTATTCAAATAATTTTTCTCGGTTTGCATGGCTCTAGAGATCTTAGTGAGTAGAGCTACAGGTTCATGAGCTTTCTAAAGCTGTGACTTGTACAGCTCTGGACTTTGAGTTATGATTCTGTCTTAAAAAGCCCAAAGCTTAGCAAAAATGAAGTTCACATTTTTGCACATTTCAGATATCCCCAATGATTTTTATGAATGGAAAAAGGTCAAGCAATAACAGAAATATCCGTCAGAAACAATTAGTGCAGAAAGGAAAAGATAAAAAAAAAAAAAAAAAAACTAATGAAAAAATGAGAAAGTTGGCAAAGTAATAATCAAATCTAAAGATGAAGTTACAGTAAGTACAGATGTGGGCTTCAAATGTCTCCTTTCAGCCATATTTAATTTTGATCACTTTAGCACCTGTCAGCCTAATATCCTCCACCCAAAACCAGGCAGACGTATATGTGATCTGTTCAGACAGCATAGAGACAACAGGATTCCGACTTGAGGTGAGCAGCTATTGTGTATTTCTAAGATTGGCCGAAAAGAAGTAGATCTTTTTCCATATAGCTTTAAACTATGCAAACATTGACCAAACAGAGAGAAAATGATGTGTCAAGGTAATTCAGTAGAATGCATAAGGCAAAGGGTATTGCTAAGTGAGGGTTGGGAGGGGAGAGATGTGATTATTTGTCCTTATCTAGCTAAGATCCATTGATTTTTGTATGGTCATCTTTACATCTTTGTTTTGTAGATATACTTCACATCTGTGCTATGACTGCTCTGTTGGACTTAAATGACATGTCTAAAAACTGAAGGCAGTGGAGTCCTCTTGGAGATCCAGATACAAACTTGGCACTTTCCTGACCACATGCCATGAGTAGAACAGAGCACAAACCAACATTTCTAGCTCAGTTAGTACAGATCCCAACAGAAAGCATTGCTACACCTGTGATTTTTCCCTCTCTACAGTTTTCAGTGTCATTGTAAATACATTGTACTGTAATAATGGATGTACCCCTGGTATTGTAAGACCTGGAGCCGTGACTTGACTTTACATCACTTAAACATCTAATCACTGAACCATTCAGTACTCTTAGATATATATATTTTTTTTTTAATATACTTTTTCTTCATTCCTACATTAGGATGTACTCCAATTAGATGCCTAATGATGCGCTTCACAGAAATATTTTGTCTTCCATAGTCACTCACAGAATTGAATACCTGTAAATACCTGTTATCAAGAGTTTCACAGGAGTTTTTCCATCTCCCTGGGTAATCATATAGACTTCTTCCTCCCACCCCCACCCTCACTTCTTTACATTAATCTATCTTTCAGTTGTAGTTTTAATTAGATGCTCTTAAGACTGTCTTAGTCTTGCACGGCACAATTCCAAATGCCACAGAAAGAATTTTTAGTTGTCCTAAAACTTGACATGACCAGCTATTTGAATGTCAAAGACAAAAGACCAGCCTATTTATTGCCTTGTAACATCAGTTATGTCACGTGAAATATAGATAAAATGCCAATGGTATCACATATATAGGAAGTGCATTATTATCTGAGTGCATGGGCATCCTTCTTCATTTTCAGAATGTTCCTGTCATGCATATAAATTTGTAGTCTTTTTTTTTATTATTATTTATTATTATTCAACTTTTAAAAGAAGTTAACAGATAAGAACATTTCAAAGTTGTTAAGTAGATAATTTTTTTCCCCAATGTATAATAATTTACTTTTTTTTATAGCTTAAAAATACTTCTCACTGCTTTCTCCACTGTTTATTTTCATCCCTTTCACTGGGCAGCCACACAAAGAGCTGCTTCAGCTTGCAGCAGCAGTGAAGGGACAAAGACAATTTCTGAAGAAGGCAAGGACTTTCCAGAGCATATTTACAGCTAATAGGAAAAATATTTTCTGATGTCAGCAAACCTGGTATAGAAAAGTCCCCTCCCCTTCTCTCAGCAGATGCTTCCATGCTTTTACCTACACAAAAATCTAACATTTGTCCTTCTCTGCTCTACCTTACACAACAAAAAATTTTAGAAGGAAGGGCAGGAATAATACATTTTGAATTTCAGTTGCCTGATAATTTATTTGATTTCTAATAATGGAGTGTTCAGGCTTTTACTGATCGTACTGGTAGTTGAGTGCCTCTACTAAGAAAGAAATATTAAATAAATAATTAAGGAATATTTTCATATGCTTTCAATACTGTATGAGGAATTTATAAAAAATAAGCAGTTTTTTGTATTACTGTAAGAAGGAATAAAGGCCATATATCCATTATGAAAAAGAAGAGGAAAATAAAGAGTAAGAAATAATATAAGTACAATATTTCAAATTAGCAAAGTTCCACTCTCTGCACCAGCTACACACCAAGAAGCTTACAGGTGCTCACTGTAATGATGGCAATGTAAGAACACATGTTTTCTTCAGGCCTTTATGTTTTTAGAATATTAACCTCTAGTGCAATGCCTTTAAGTAGGTCAGTGTCGATACCCTCACATGCATTTTCAGTGCTGCATTCATTTAGCAGGAACGGTGTCAGCAATCAAAATATCATAGCTATTTCAGCCAATGTGAACATTTGCCATGGGCAACTCGCCTTTTAGCAATTATGATCTGAAGTGGAGGTTCTAATAATGCAGCTACTAGATGAAGCAGAACTGTGTTCCATAAACACACCGGGCAAGTACAATATGGCTGGAACAGGTGTTAGCTTAATCTTCCTCATCTGTATCTGCTAGCAAGTCTCGTTACCTTTGCACACTCATCTGACGTGGCCATTCAGGGAAATCAGTGCAGATGGTGTGTCACTCTGTATGCACTTGCCAAAGATTTTTTACAACTTGAAGCCACTGCCTCAAGCCAGTATGAAAGGTCAGTGTTGATTACAACTAGAGTTTATTTAAAACTATCTCGGAGCATATCATCAGCACATGAGGAAAAAGAGTGGATAAAACACAGCTTAATCCAGAAGTGAAAAAATGAAAAGATGTGGAATCTAAGGAATGTCTCCTTAAATTTGTATATACATTACTATGTTACACATATATGTTCATGTATTTTTCATCCCATCCCCAATATATATATTTTTTTTCCAATATATATATATATATATATATATATTTTTTAAGAGATCTAGACCATTACTTTGTACAGATTTTTTTGGCCAATACTCCTTAAAAGCAATTAGTATCTCCAGTATTGTTCTAGTACTGAAAATAAAAAAAAATTACTTTGTATTTACTAACACAGTAAGTATGATTTGTGCTAAAAACAAAGTATAACATGGTAAACTTAATAAAAGCACAGAAAATATATGAAAAGAGGAACAGTTCAGAACTTTTATTGTCATTTCATTTAGAACTTTGATCTGCTATATTTTATATTTTGCAAAATATCAGACTCCATTTTAATGAATGACTGGCACTATGATCACTTTCCTTTTAAATTTTGGAATGACTAGAAAGGCATTTGTATTTTTGTTTCCTTATTTTTTTTTACATGTTACTCTAACTATTTTCAATATATGCTGATACAAATACATTGCAAGAGTAATGGGGACAAACCACTTCCCACTGAAGTAATGGAAGACTGACAGAAGTTGTAAGAAAATGATGGTTATTATCCCACTGAAATTGTTGTTGAAACATGTTTTTCTGAGTGGGTTTTGTTACAGCTGTCTCAAAAATAATAATTTTTTATTAAGCTTTTTTAAATATTTTGAGGTACTACTCTCTCTGTCTTCAGCTAACGCTGAATCATGCTCTTTTGATCCATTGTATACATTGTTTTTTGTTTGAGTATGATGATGAGGTTTTTTTTCCTGACTATTCAGCAACATTTTATCTTCAATGTTAATTAATTAAACCTATTCACAAAGCTGAACTGGTACACATAACAGTCAACAATGAACACTCACCTATTGTCAGCTGTCCAGTTAACTGTCCCATGTGATTTCTTGCATTCACTGTTACATTTCTGTCAGACTGTAACACCAGTGGGCTATCCTGGGAAACATGTATAAAACAATAAATGAGAGAACAAAAAATTCAGTTAAAACTAAATATAAACATGCATGCTGAGAGGGGAGTTGTATCAATGATAATAGCTTTTTTAATAATCTCATAAAGTGATTTACAAGTCAATTTTTTATATAAAAGTATAATTCTATTTTAAGCTTAAAATCTTTGTGCATGGAATCCCTGCTTTAGATATCAGAGTTGAACTTGATTTATATAAATTAGGCTGAATTTCCTGAGGATACTAAAGTTAGAAATTCAAACATTCTTAACACAAACCTGTTGCATTAGCTTTACCCATATACTGATAACATACACTTTTCTAACTACCTAACCAACACTATATTACATTATTCTATTATTATGTACAACTTATAGTATTTAGACTGCACTTACTAAAATCTTAAAAACACAGCCATGCATTTCTTTGAAGGTAGAAGGTATCATCATTCTCAAAAAGAAAAGAAAGAGAGCACCGGAAGGAGGTCATATAACAGACACGCCTGACTCACCACCAATAGAACCTGACAGCCATTATTAGTTTTTAAGTTGATGTAGCATGAAGACAAACATTTTATGATGTTAAATACGGTCTTAACATTTTTGGAGTCAGTTTGCAGCATGGCTACATTGCTATCAGCACCCTACTAGGTTTAAGCTTTTGAGGAATGTTTACATATATACATGTAGGCTTATCCTGTGTCCAAAGCCAGCTTAAGGAATCTCAGAAACAAAGACAGAATTAAATTTTGCATCGAAGAATGAGAAGCCAGATCCACTCCTCCAGGGGAAGGAGAGATGCATGGGAAAGGAGAAGAACTGCAATAGAGAGCTAAAAGAAACCCAGCCTTAAAAAACAAAAACAAGCTGACTGATTATGGTCTCATTGGAGAAGGGCAAGTGCATGAGAGGAGACAAAATTAAGATAGTGGTTCCTGCTTCAGAGAGGCACTTTCCTTCCTGGAATCACCTGATACCACACTGTTCTTCCCCTGAAGCTTGCAGTGAGACCATGGGTACATTAAAGTTTCTGGCAGTGTGCTAGCACTTCCCTGTGCTTAGGTAGGTTTATCCAACACTAGTAAGACACCTAGCAGAAATAGCTGGGAAGGTGCTTTAGGTAGAAATGACTAAGGATTAGGAAAATATTTCTGAAAATTATTGTATACCCGTTTTATTCTTATATTCTTTCCTGGCCATCCATTATTGGTCATTCCTGGATTGAGCATACTAGGTTAGACAGACTTCTTGTGTGTGACTCATGTATTGGTTCTTCCTGTTCTTGAAAGTTTTTTTAAAAGAAAGGAGTTAAAAAGCCATATATAATGATATATTTTTACCTGACTGATGCATCAGGTTTGCACTTAAATTTTCTACACCTTACAATCCTTTTCTTTGAAACCAGGGCTTTCCTCAGCAAGAAACACTTCCCAGTTTTTTCACTATGGTTGTTAACTGTAAATGATGTTTAGCTCCCAGGGAAGTCTGAAATTATTCTGAGCTAACTTCTAAGATTTTGGGTGTGTTTCATCTCTCACAGGACCATGCTATGACCTCTCTAACGTTCTGTCAATTAGCTCTGCATCACAGAATCTGGCAGATGAAAGTCACTGTTTGGCTTGTCCATCTTTCTAGATAAAAAGCTATAATTATCAGTGAGACACTGTGTTCAATGTGACTGGTTTGAGCTAAACATGTGATGCAATCAAGGGAGCTTCTGGCAACAAAAGCAGCTGCCGAGGACCTTTTTCTCAACACTTGATTTGATTTCCACTTTTCCTTATGGTCCTTTGAAGATCATTAGTCCAGGCAACTGCTGCTGTGGGAAAGAGGGCTGTCCTGACAGACAGCTGCATGGGCAAAGTATATTTTTAAGAAGCCCTTTCCACTTTTGCTTAGTCAGTATTTGGAGAAAAGTCTTCTCAGAATAACCTCACTCTTAGCAAGTGAGTGTATTGCCATGCCTATTTTTGTTTGCTCAGCTAAGGGTTTGATAATTTACACTTCCAAACACTGTTCATAGTCTAATCTGAAGGTTTGTTTCCTTTCACCTTAGGAAAATACTTAAGATTCTCAGACTAAAATCTGTCTCTTGGGTTTCTTGTGCTCAGGGTCTAATTGTAAATGAAGACCTTGGGTATCAAATTCTCAGGTAAAGGATAATGAAAGGTTAGGTGAGTCAAGCCTTCTTTCTTCTCCTTTCCTTGTCTTATTTAAAAGAAAAAAGGAGGGCTGAAGAAGTTAAGAACTTAAAAATATATTCCTTAGTTCCTGAATGTCAGATATAGAGCTGCAAGCTTAAATTCTGGACCAAATAAAACCCAGTGGCAAAACTTCTATCAATTTAGCAGTCCAGTATTTTATCTACACTGTTTACCTGTACTTCTGTTTTCCACAGGAAGCACCTAAAAACAAAGGTTCAAGGTATTCAAAGGTAGTCTACTCAGAGGAGCTAGCAACTCAGAGAAGACTTATCTGAAATCAGTGAAATTATAGATTTGTAAGATGAGGATAAAATGAGATGAGCGTCAGTCACATGAATAAAAATATATCTACAGCATAAATACATTAGATAATTTTCTCTTTGGATCACCAGATCTGCTACTCTTTTGATGGGAACTTCAGCTTGCAATTTAATAGACTTGATAATCCTCAAAATACTTTACATTCAGATGCCAGAGGGAGATAGAAGTATGACACCACACTATTTTCCTGGAAATTGGAAATTAAAAAATGTTGTGGTTTGAGCCATGCAGCTGCTCACTGAACCTCCCCCCCACTTGGGAATGGGGAGGGAATCGGAGGGGCAAAGAGAGACTCGCTGGTTGAGATAAAACCAGTTTAATAACAGTAACAGAATAATACAGTGATAGTATAAACAGGTAATGTACAATACAGCTGCTCATTACCCACTGACCAACACTCACCTGCTCCCGGCTAGAGATCCTGAAACACAAAGGCCCCACAGCCACACTCCCAGAAGTAGCAGCCCCTCCCAGGCCACTCCTGCCTTTATATAGTGAGCACAATGTCACATGACATGGAATATCAGCCAATCGGGGCCCAGCCCTCCAGCTGTGCTCCCCCCGCCCCCGCACACAGGTGAGGGCACTGGGACCTGGGGAGCCCCTGGGGTCTCAGGGTGCTGCAGCACTCCTCCTGCTGCCAAACCAACGGGAGATCTAGTCCAGCCCCAACCAGGACAAAAAAAAAAAAAAAAGTTTTGATGTCTATATAAACACAAACAATATAAATAAAAATTGGGTGATTAAGCTCTTCAAATACTGTGGAAGTATTGAAGTAAGGAAGATTTATTTTGAAGTCAGACAAACCTAGGAACAGGCATAGTTACTTTCCTGATATAATTTTCTAGGCTAATACCACCTGACAGCTGGTAAAATACAAAAAATCCCAGACTGATATATTAGTAAATAGATTCTTTTTATATTTACTTAATGCAAAAGGCTTTAGGTTATACCTGACAAAAAAAGCCACACATGAAAAAAGGGGCAAAGATCTGTTACTTTTGTTGCTGACATTATACAGCTTTATATCAGATCTTCCATTTAAAGGTGAACATAAAGAACATTTACCCTTTCATATAATAAAGTAATGCAGTGTTATAAAATGACTTCCATGTATTTCTGTAGCTCAGTGTTATGAATATCAGGAGCAGACATACTCCGTATTTAGAATATAATCATATCCATGCAGTGTAAAAGTTATCATGAGCAACTCCAGGGCACATCCTTGAAGATATTATTCATTACCTAATATTATTTCTTGACACTGAGTTAATTTGAATGCACGAGAAAAATATATAACAAGGCAGGTCTCTCTTGTCTATCCCAAACTTTCTACCCTTGGAGCAGGCTTGCCATATTGCAGACCCAGTCCCTCGAGTTCAGAAGCCATTCTTGCTGCCTGAACTTGCTCTATGGGACACTTAGATTGTTTCCTGAGGTACAGGAAACTTAGACCACTTTCAGATTGCCAGTATTATTTGGTCTTGGAGTAGAGTGGTCCCTAAATTCCAATACTACAATCTGAAATCTATATTATGAAATTTTCCTTCATAAATAGCATATGCAAAAAAAAAAAAAATGTAACTGGGGAGTTGGCTTTTTTCCTCCTCCTTTCTCTCACAGAAATTCAGATCTTTCTCTCCTGTTTCTTCATTTTGCATAGCATACATACAACCATATCTTCTTTCCCACTCCTTATAATTCTAACTTAAACTGCAAGTATGTGTGGCGAATTAAGCATAGCAGTTAGTGTGCTATATGAATTTGCTCTGAGGTTACCTATATTTGTTAAGCATTTACAGGAATATTTTTGTGTATACTGCATAGCCAGTGAAAAGTCTTTAAGTGGAAGAAGTCATAATGTTCATGTGATGATTTTTTAAGTATTATTCATGCACACCAATGGCAGAAGTTCCTTAGTGGAAAGTTGCTTTCCTTCAGCTATACTGCCCATTTACAGGGCAATTAAAAGCTTGATTTGCAAACACGTGAAAAAAAAAAAAAAACCAACAACAACAAAAAAAAAAAAAAAAAAACACCAAAGAATTTCAGATAGTGAAACTATGTCAGTTTTAAATTTTCTGGAAATTATTTATGAACTCATTTATCTTAATAGGCAACACTTTTCAACTGTGCAAAATAAAATAACTGAATCTTATGTCTTGAAAAGGTCTCTTTTCTTTTTAAGCTAAACCTCTTAAAACAAAACACCTGAGGCAAAAGATTTTATTTGAGGAATGCAACTTTCTGTGCTTTTCCCCCATCCATAATGAATCACATGTATCAGAGTAAGCACTTTTCACCTCAAATATATATTCTTCTGATTTAAATTCTATACTAAAGTATAATCCTTTCTATCTGATGCATGACACATTGATAGAGAAATGTCTTTGATGTTACTAATTCTTCAATCATTTCTTAAAAAAACAGATATAATTTTATATGAATCATAGTAGGCTATAC